GCCGGCCTGCGCCCCGGGAGAGGGCGCCGCGGGACCCGGGCGCGCCGAGCGGCCCCGCGCGCCCCCCGAGCCCGAGCCCGAGCCGCGCGCCGGGGAGGGCCGGCCGGCCGAGGACGCCGCGGGGCCCGGGGCCGCGCCGGCCGAGACTGCGCCCCGGCCCGACTCCGAAGGCGGACGCGCGCCCGCCGCCCCCGACCCTTCTTCGGCCGATCCACCCTCCGACCCATCGGCCGATCGTATTTGTCTGATGTTCTCTGACGTGACTTCACTGAAAAGCTTTGACTCTCTTACAGGCTGCGGAGATATTATCGCAGACCCCGAGGACGAGGCAGGGCCCAGCTGTGCCAGGCATGCCCCCGCGCCGGGCCAGCCGGGCCCCGCCCAAAAGCCCCCCGGCGTGGTGGCCTACCAGGGAGGCGGGGAGGAGATGGCGAGCCCGGCCGAGGCGGACGACTCGTACCTGCAGGAGTTCTGGGACATGCTCTCCCAGACCGAGGACCAGGGCCCGGGGCCCCAGCAGGGGGCGGCCCCGGCGGCGGCGGCGGCGCCCGAAGCGCAGGTGGCCCCCGAGACCCCCAAGGACGCCAGACGGGCCGAGGGGGCCAAGGACGCGTCCTCGGTCAAGCGCCGGAGGCTGCACCGGCTCCCCACGGAGCTCCAGCCGAAGGAGGAGCCCAAGCACCCGGACGAGGAGCCGCAGGAAGGCGTCCCCAACAGCGACGAGGGCTACTGGGACTCCCCCACCCCCGGGCCGCGGGAGGACGGCTCGGGCGGCGGCGTGAGGAAGGCGGGCCTCCCCCGGGACAGCGACAGCGGTGACGCGCTCTACGACCTCTACGCCGAGCCCGATGGAAGCCCCGCGGCCCTGCCCGCCGCCGCCGAGGACACGTCCTCCTGCTCGTCCCGGTTAAAGCCCGTGTCTCCGGTCACCGTCACCTGTGCCCTGCGAACGCCGGGGAGCTTGCTGAAGGACTCCAAGATCCCGATCAGCATCAAGCACCTCGCGAACCTTCCACCCAGCCACGCGGTGGTGCACCAGCAACCAACCAGGAGCGAGCTACCCAGAACCAAAATCCCGGTGTCCAAGGTGCTGGTCCGCCGGGTCAGCAGCCGGGGCTTGGCCGGGACCACCCTCCGGGCCGCGGCGTGCCACGACAGTGCCAAAAAGTTGTGAGGTCTCCGAGGCCGAGGTGGAGGGGCCGCTTGTCGAGGAACACAACTCTCCTCGGAAACCACTGCAGCAAGTTTTGCACCCCTCAAAGAAAGGCCTTTCGGACCGTCCCTGCTCCGAGCCTGGACCAAGGAGGTCTTTGTGTCGCCAGCAGGGGCAGGATACACCAGGCAGGGGATGCCACACGCGGGATTTCCCCTCCAGATAAGTCCCTGAGAATTATTTTCAAGCACTTTTTTTTTCTTTTTTACCTTTTTAAAAATCTTTTTTTTCTTTCTTTCTTTTTTCTTTAATGCACTGAACGCTAGGAAGTCACCTTTACTTGCCTTTGCAGAAAACAGAACTTAACCCAATCTAAGGAAGCGTCACGCCATGATGTTTGGCTGTGCCGGTGTCCAGCAGGCCTGCAGGAACCATGGGGAGAATCAGAGGAGCCCTCCTCTTCCTGACACTTTCCTTCCTTCTTTTCCTTTTCCTTTACAGGAAAAAAAAAAAAAAAAGGACCCTTTGCTGTATCACTGTGTGGAAGACATCTACAAAGCTGAGTCAGATAATTTACCTGATGAGCGGAAGCATCGCTGATTGGCAGAAACCCCCGGTACTTTCAGTTGCTAGGTATGCAAATAGGTATTTATCTACCACTAGGACGATCAAGGAGAGTTTGGATTTGGTGGGTTTATTTAGATCATTTGTTTGGAGAGAAAAAAAAAAAAGCTCAGTAGAGCAGGTTTCCCTCCCTTTTTTTTTTTCCACCCAGTGCAGAGATCAAGATCAGGAAAAGATTGCACTAAACGCCAACAGACACAGTGTTTTAGCGTTTATAAACTGTAACCTTTTCATGTGTACATGATGCATATTTTACAGATTATCCAGCTGTCAACCTTTTATAATCTGTCACTAACCTCGAGTTTAAAATCTGGTTTCATAGCTAGACACGATAACCGTTCCCAAACCATTGGTGGTCTTTTATGTACTCTAAGCGGAAGCAATTCTGTTTTTGTTTTATGTGGGTTCTCTGGCTTTCAGTGCAGGAAAAAAAACTCTATTGTGTTGATGTCCCAAAGGAATGGTTCTGCCTTGTCTTGGGTTAAGAGTCTGTTTCTCACCCCAGACCCTGGTTTTCAGAGATTTTACCTTGGTTATAACAATTTTGGATTCAACCGTTTCTCAGTATGGGGAGTCCAAAACGAGGAACACATAAAGAAAAACAATAGAAAATGTAGTTTCTCCTGTCATTTGACGTCTGCTTTATAGACTTAGGACTGAGCCACATATGTTCAGAATATGACACTGGGAAGCTTATGTATCATAAACATTGTGTGCCAAGATTATTTTTGAAAAGTGGTTGACTTATATGTGTGTTTTCTATTATTTTAGATGAAATATTTATTTCAGAAAGCATTACCATATGCCTCGATAGTTTGAATGATAAACTGAAGCCGTTCCTAGAATGCTCTTAGGGGCTAATGATTATAGAATATCCTCTTTGAAATGTATTTGAGTGTATTTAATCAAAAGACCAGAGCTTCTACTAGGAGGTGATTCACAGTATCGGGAAGATTACACATATTCAAGTGAAAATACACACACGTAAGAGACACGCACACTTCTCTCTAACTGTCATTTTCCAGAGAGATTCCCTGAGTAATGAACTGGTAGTACCCGTTTTTTAAGTTCGTTTTCCGTTTTATAAAGGAAAGAAAAAGGCAAGTTAAGTATATGAAAGCTTATTTTAATAATATGAAAGGAGTAACAAAATAAACAGATGTCAGAGGAATACAGATCCGGGCCAGTAGCACAAAGCAGGTTGTTCCCCGTTTTAAATATGCAGTGATTCAATTAGAAGAGGTGGTAGAGATTGGCTAAATCTCTTTATTATTCAGATTACTGGCTTTTATTGTGTCATGTCAGATCCTTAATGTGATTTTAAAGTAGTGTTTTAATATTTAATTTCCTTATGTCTGTAGATGAGGTCTGATAGGCAGACATAGCCTGAAGCACTCTGAATACACCACCAAGAATTCATAAAGCGGCTCACACTCACACGTGCTCATGCACTCAGCTGTGTGCAACTAACAGACAAAGGCGTTCACCGTACGCTTGGAGATGTTTTAGAAATTAGTTCTGTCTTGAGAAAGGGATTTGAATATGATTCAACGCTGGTAGTACTACTTAGACTCCAGATACATTCATTTCCCCCCGGTGAATGGGAAGAACATACATTTTATTCCTAGCTGTAAGACAAAGGATCTTTATTTTCTTCCCGTGCATCTTCTTGCAGGGGTTAGGAGGGTCTCCCCTGCATGAATCCATGACAGAGTTGTATCTGTTCACTTGTTCAATCGCACAGGGACGGTAGGAGGCCCTGAAGGACTCATGAGGATATTGTAATAGTAAAGGCAACCTACTTATCTATTTTGTAAGCACTGGAACAAAGTATTTTTGCTTTCACTCACAGTTTTGGGACTTACTTCTGCATTTACCCCACTGTGCTGTGTCTTGTTTTTATAAGTAAAGGAAAATGTCAGCAGCATTTGCTTTATTTTCCCCCTGCCTGTCAGTGAACCACTTATGCAAGATTTAAACTATTTTCTTTTTTGTTCTTTTTTCCATATATTTTCCATGGTTTTTTTTTGTTTGTTTGTTTTGTTTTTTTAACTCTATCTCTAAGAATTCCACCCACACCAGTCAAATGAAGGATTCAGGCAATGAATTAAATGGCCTCAATCACTTGATGGGAAATCAAGACCAGTTCAGGGAGGTGTGTCTTAACCTTTTCCAACCGCAGACAGGGGGTGGTAGTTGCCTTTTTGTACCAAGGGCTACTTTCTCTCATTCATGTTCCTGGAGATTGTTTCCTAGGATTTTAATGGATTTACATTCCAATTGTTATGGGTTGGCCAAAAGTTTGTTCAGGTTTTTCCGTAAGATGTTACTTTTTGGCCAACCCAATATTAATGCATTGTCTAATTTGGCCATATTTACTGATTTTTTAAGGAAAGGATTGGATGTGGTGCTGGTGACACCTTTCCTGTGTATCTGTGTTTCTGAGATACTTGGTTGATTAAGTCCCTTTAGTCAGAGTTGGCCAAATTCTATAGGAAAAAGTCACATCGACTGTTGGCCCTGAATTTGTCAGTCAGCTCAATAGCCCTGCGCAGAGACAGCCTGGCTTCAGTGTCTGCGTTACCTGGGCAGTGTTACTTGGGCCACTGTGCTTCAGTGCTAATGCTTTCATGCTTCCATTAGCCCTGTAGCGTTTTGAGTAATCGCAAGAGGAAATAGGTTTGTGTTATTTCACCTAATAACAACAATGGAATGTAGACTGTTAAGGACTTCCTTTAGCTCCATTTCCCACAAATCATCTGCCTATTTAAATACAAAGTGTGTGAGATCTATGGAAGTGATGACTTAGGAGTCTAAGGGTTTATTCATTAATCTCAGAAGCAGTGTTCAGGTATTGGCACTCCCATGAATATTCATATAACCCTTTGCCTACACAGTTGTCAAGGTAAAAAGGTGGCGTTAGGGACCAAGACGCCTTTGGCTGGACTTTCCAAGTTTTCGTTATTTACGTCTTTGTCAGAGGGATTTTCAGCAACCTTTTACTGTTAACTGTGTATGAAGAGATCTTTTAGTGAGCGTATGCTGTCTTCTCCCTCGGTGTCCATCACGTTTGCCTGGCGCCCTCAGGTAGCAGTACTGGGACGCTGCTCAGGACGTTTGCCTGTTTTGACATTCGTACAGTGGAACTCAGTCCCCGTTTATAGTCGTTCCTGATTTCTCTCCTGAATTAGGACTATCTGGACGCGGCCCCCTGTGCTTGGCTTCTACATTCGCTCGCACTTAGCTCCCCTATCACTGTTAAGGAATTAATCCAAGAAGTTTATGCCCTTAAACATATGGAAAAAGAACCACAGTTGCCTCTTATTTTCCACCACTGAGGACGGCCCATTAGAAGTATGAATGAAATAAGAGGAGAAACCCTGAATGAAATAAGAGGAGAAACCCAAATACCCGGCCCAAGCCCATTTCCCTCTCCCTGGCCAGGCAGACCGAGGGATGAACAACACAGTTCTTATTTAGGAATTTTCAATTCTCCACGCACGAACGTTTATAAAGCAGTTCAGGAGCCAAAGGCTAGCATGGCAGCTTGGTTTCTCAGGTGGGAAAGCCAGAGGCTGGCATTCACTTGGTGAAGAGAGGAGGCTGTAACAGTGTCAGGTGCCGTGGCCATGTGGTCCCTCCTCGGGGCAGGCGCCCATTCCGCGACCCCGTGCTGCTCTGAAGGTTCTCTGATGGCCGTGCTGGATGGCTTCTTACAGCCTTTTCACTGTGATGACCACGGAGATGAGACAGTTCTTCCGTTGTAACAATAGCCACTTACAAGGAAAGATGTTATCTCCCTGCAGATAATGCTTCTAGGGACTGATTCAGAATGGTTGTTTCATGATTATGGAAAGCAGCTCCTTCTCAAGCTGCAAAACAAAAGGTTAAAATAGCCACTAAGCCTCCAGAACTGCAACTGGGCACATTGCATGGCTGATACTTACTTTAAATCAGCGCAACACAGATTCACAGGGCATATACTGGGTCTCATGCTTAATAAAAACCCGTTCAGTTTGGAGCTCACAAGTAGCTGTACTGTAATCAGACATTCTTAATATTCATTAAAAACACCTTTATTTTATTTTACCTACTTTTATTTTGTATTTTTTGCTGATAGTCTGTGGGGTGGAGCAGGGTGGGGTGAGATTGAACCAGGGTGGTGTAGATTAAGTCACACAAATTCCTCTAAGAGTAGGAATAGTAATTACAACAAGGATTAACGTGTGTTGAGTACTTACTACGCGTCAGCCCCTTCCAGGAGTTTAACAAATATTTACCTAGCCCTCTCACAGCCATGTGGGTTAGGTAACACTGTCTCCCTCACAGAGCATATTTAATTCATCCTTTTGGTTTGTTTCTCCCCCATTCATTCCATCCATGCATCCATCCATCTCTCTCTCTCTCTTCACCTAGGACAGGGATAGACACTCTTTAGTGACTTACAGTCATACAGGAGCTAAGAGCTGCTAAATCTCATCACCAGCTCACTTTCAGTAGAAAAAAGCCACCCCCTGTCCCGCAGCTGAGGATTGGTTGTGTGTCTGAGACGCTGGCACTCCCATCATCCCGGGGGAAGGCCGCTGCTGGGTTCCAGAGGCAAACAGTCTGCCTTGCTTTGGAGGGAGCCTGCCTTTTGAGGATTAACTTCAAAAGTGTAGACAGACATCTCTTCTGTTGTCATGATGATACCTCTGCCCTGATAGGATTTCAGTCACGTCAAGCACGTTTCACTTGTTTTTCTACCTTAAGCCCAGCCCAAGCTGGTTCTGGGTGTCCCGGGTTGTTTGTTGAGATAGTAGCTGGCTCCGTGACGCCTCGCCTTGACACAGTTCTGAACTGCAGAGACAAGCTCCTGGCTCTTTGGAAAGTAGCGCATCCCATGTTCTGTCTCCGACCGTTGAATCCTGGCCTAGATTTTCTGATTCATTCATTCATTCAGCTAATATTTTTTGCACACCTATAAGTCAGTCACTGTGAATTTGAGTATTTTATATTTAAGTGAACTAGCCTAACCTATGCTGTGTGTTTACTGCGAGCTGGGATGATGCCCTGTTTTCTTTGACAGTCTGTCCACGAGAACCAGGCAAGGTGGGGCTTGGCTTTGTTCTACAGAGGAAGAAAATAACGAAAAGGTAGAATACCTTGTCCGAAGCCACCCATTTAGCAAGCAGTGGACGGAATATGAACCAGAAATCTAACTCTCCTGCTTGTGCTTTAATTATAAACCTTTTTTTTAGCCATGTGATTCAATTTTTGTATGATTTAGTAAGAAACTGATCAAAATTCTGAACCGCAAGAACCAAACCAGATTTTTATGATGGTGGATACCATTAAAGTGCCAACTATTTCAGTTAAAAGTGAACTTGGTTTTTTAAAAAAATTATTTGATGCCTTTTGTACCTGCAAGCCTGAAAGGTAGATCTCAGAGCTAGCAGGGTTTTTTTTTTTTTTTCCACACCTGACCAGTCAAAAATTTGGGCCATAGTCACCCATTATTACATGCTAGCAGGTCTGTATACAGATTTTATAATCTGATGACTGCTTTGTCAATAATAAAAACCTACAAAAGCGTTTTATTCATATACGGGCTACCCACGCTTGATGAAATGCTTTTTTAATGAGAAGCAGTGAAAGAATTCAGTCACAGATGATCATTGTGTTGAATTGTAAACTGGGGTTATTTTTGGAAATTATTCAGTAATTGGGTAGAGTAACTTTCTGCTCTATGTGAGAAGATAGATTTTTAATAAAATACAGCCTAGGTCATTGGTTATTAGAGGCATAATAAACTTTCTCAGATCCCTATCTGGATGACTAATACACTAAAAAAGAAAATACTAAAAATATCTGGTCAGATTATACAAGGGTCTTGAAGTGACACACAGGAAATACTTGTTATCATGTCATAAGATGAAATGGACCCAGGGAGCCTGGAGGAATTCATAAACTTCCTCAAATAACTACCTTACAAACCACAAATCCCCCACTACACAGTTATTTCTAAATAAAGGAGGAGAAACTCTAACAAAATAATATCTAGCATGTTCATTGCTTCCAGGATACATTTAACTGAACATGGAAGATCTGATCTTTTTACCAAGAATATCGGGGAAAATGGTTTAGATGTTATAGACAAAGTAAATTCCTGTCATTTTTTAATGGACTCCAGCTACGGACCAGGCTCATTGCTAACTTCAGGTTTTGCCCAAGTTATTTATCGGAAATATCTCAGTGTAATATAGGGAATTGCAGGTTATTTGAAAACAAAGACAAAGAAAACCCAAATGAGAAACTCCATTTCTAGAATTAGTTTTCCTGAAAGTCAGGCATGTCTCTGAGGACAAACTTTTGGCTGTATTATTTTTGTGCACAGGAGGAAAGTTGTTAGTAGGTTTATAGATATTATTTTTATAATAGAATGTTAAAGTCCCCCCAAACATCAAAAATTGTCTCCTAAAATTACTCTATGTTTTTAAGACTTGTTTTCAAAAAGGGTTCTAAATAGCAATAGGGTCTTTTCTCTTTTCTCCTCTCCAGTGGTTTAATGGGATAGATGAACCAATGTTTATATTTTTAAACCTGTAAATATTTTATTTTGGGTATTTTGTATATTTGTTGATATAATTCCATTTCGTGCATATGTATCACCGTGCATGTTGCTGGTTTTGATAGTCACTCTTTTAATGAATGTAAGAAGCTTGGACTAATTAGCACTTTTCTTCTTTCAAACATCTTAAAATGAAACTACAGCACTGCCATTTGAAATGTTGTGTTTAATTCAGTCAATAAATTTTGTTGCTCCTTTACATTGATTGTGAATTCTGTCGGTGGTTATTCTTCCAGGATAAATTTTATTTCCAGCCTCTTCAATTTTTAGAATTTATACTAATGATGATAATGACTGTGTGTGTGTGTGTGTGTGTGGTGGTGGTGTGTGTGTGTGTGTTTGACCAACAGGAGGCCCGTATTTCTTTCCACACTTTGTGAACAGGTGAAAAGTTACTATTTGCTTTGAGCAGGTGCCTTTGGAAAAGCTTGTTCGTTCTGACTCTGATCTGATTTCTGAGCCGTTTACTCAGAAAATCTCTGTTCCTTATAACTCTCCTTGAGTTGGACTCGCCTGCTGTGTGTGACTGCAGCGAGCAGTGAATTGGAGTCTTTCTGAAGAGCTGTTTTCTGTTTTGTTTTGTTTGGGGGGGCTTGTTTTCACTTCATCTGTCTAATAATTCAAATCCATAGTACTTTTGAAACCTAATGTGAAGAATAATGAGATTGCGCCATCTTGTTTGAAAAGTAAGAATTGGAGTCTGCCTAGATTGTCTGGAAGTCACTTCCCCAAGAATGGGCTTGTCCACACTGCAGTTACTTACATTTCTCTTAAATAACAAGAAAAAACTCATACTTATCTTTAGAACCTGATTAGCATAAACTTCCAAAGGGAGATCTGATTTGTACAGAGAAGAGGTAGAGTAAATGGACATAGAACCACAAATAGTGAGACAAGAGATTCACAAAACCTGGACGCCTTTGCTGGCTCCCCCTTTTCCCAGCCCATGTCATCCCTCCTCTTCCCCGCTTTTCCTAGAATTCACACAGAAGGCACCTCACAATAACACACTCATGAGGCCACGAGGAAACTAAAGCCCAGGGATGCCATGACTTTCCTGAAGCCTCTGAGGTGGCGAAGTTGGTAAAAAGAGACCGAGTTTGGCAACCAAACAGAATCTGGGTTTGAATTCTGGTTTGGACACTTACCAGCTCTGTGAATCCAGGCAGTTTCCCAAACTTCTCTGAGCCACAGTTTCCTGCTCTATACAAGGAGGATAAGGAGATTTAATTTACAGGGTATTCGTACCATGATTAACTTTCAGAAAGATAGGAGTTGAAGACATAGTGTATTTTTTGTATATGTTAGTTGAGCTCCTTTTGCTTTTTAAGAAGGGGGTATCTATAAACATTAAAACTTCATGGGTTAGAGTTGAAATACTCTTGGACAGAGAACTTGCTTTGATGTAGGTAGAGGTAAATCAAACTTCTCGGATTGGTGAAGAGAGAGAAGTGTGCTGAGGAGTAGAGGGCTCTGAAGTGTGTTACTCTGAGACTCATTACTCTGAAATGAAAAGCCTGCATGTGCTTAGGGGAGACGAGGGGACGACGTCACGGATACCAGCTGAGTATGTGGGGTCTTGGCAGCCTCAAGAGCAATGATCAGACACCATGGTAGTCAAGTCAGAAGGCGGCTTCCTGCCCTAGACTCCAAACAACGGGCTGTAAGACTTGGTGCACGCAGAACCTCAGGCAGAGAGCCGGGGGGCTCAGTACAGTGGCGAGAAATCAGTGGTGCATTCCATCTGAAAAAAAAGTAACTGTATGGGCTTGAGAGATAGGAAATAATTTAAGCTCAAGGGCAATTTCTTCTGCCGTTTCAAGCAACGGCTGAGCAAGGCCTGTGCTCTGAATTGGTCTCAGTTCCTGAATGCTCCCCACCCCGCCAGTGAGCATCGCCCTGCCCTGGGATGTGGGATTCTGGGGCTTAAGGATAACACCGTTTTCATACAACATGGCTCTCAAACTCAGAGCATCTCATCTCTCGCCAGGCCAGAGACACACCATCTATTCCTACATCGAGGGGATTGGTGGCCGCTCTGGACAGACTGGATGGGTGTCAGCCTCTGGTGTGGGCTTCTCAGCGGATTTTCAGGGTGTCCACAATCCTTACCTTTTATGCTGTTTTCACTGTAGGGAGAACTTTAGGCTGCAAGTTCAGAGTCCCATGAAAGCAACTGTGTCAGGAATCTAACCCAAGAGAACAGAGCAGTGGAAAAGTGTCCTGGAACCTTTCCCTCCACCTAGGCCCTGCACTTGCAGAGGGCATGTTGGTGCTCATGACCAGCAGGGGTGTTGGGTGACACGTGGTGGGGTGGGGAGAGAGGTGTCTCCAAGAAAGAAGGCGCCTGGGCGAAGACCAGGGTTCAGGGCTGCCGACAGAGCCCGTTGTCCTTGTTTATCCGGGGAGAAGCCCCAAAGAGTGTTTGGGCTCCATCAGAGATGGTTCCCCATTTCAGATCAGCTTTTCTATGTTTTTCTGGCTTCTAGTCCTAGGATCTGAGAGGTTAGTTTCCTTCTCAGCTCCTGAGGTCTTTCTAGCCCTGCACCCTGGGTGAAGGTGGCCTTTAGAAGTTAATTCAGAGTCCTTGGTGGTTATTCTCATGCCAGAAGCCGCCTCTGTTTTGGGTTAGTTGTTTGGTGGAGCGAGCCACTTCTTAGATGTCTCTGGTCCTCGTGGGCAGCTCAGGCATGACCCTGGCAGGTGTTCACGTGGTCCCGGGCCCGAGGTCACATGCTTCTTCGAGCTTTGTCCATCTGACAACACGTCATATCCATCACGTGTGGCAGTAAATGGATTCACAGCTTTGGTTCAGCTCAACAAATATCTAGAACTTAATGTGTTGGGCTGTGTGCTAGGCGTGGTGGGTGCGGGTGAGACATAACACTGGCCCCGCTGCTAAGGTTGCTGTAACTTCCCAGTTAACTGCCCGTGCAAATCTGTGTCTCAGAGTCATCTCCCAGGGAACTCCAACCTATTCTGATTTCCATTTTCCGGTGAAAAAGTGAAGTTTAGAGATCTTAAGTGTTTTTGGCAACAGAAGGTTGGATAGAGTTAAATTTTTTTCTTGTACAGAATACTTACCAATGCCTGACAAAATTAATTTTTATTTCTTTAAATGCACAGTTGAGCTCTCCAGGAAGGGAGGCCAGCAATCCCCAGCTGTAACTACTGATGCCTGGAGGCCTAGAACATGGAAGAATGAGCTGGGGCCACATGGGAGACTTTAAATCCACAGTCAAAGCAGAAGGGCTATTTTGTAGACCTTCTTTTGGTAATTGAAAGATCGAGCAGGCACAAAATCTTTAAAGATAAAGATTTGAGCAACACATTTGCACACATATATAACCCTGGACCAAACAGTTAGAGAATCCACACTCTTTTCAAGTACAAATGAAACACGAAAACTGACCACATACTAAGGCACGAACTAAGTCTTAACACGTTTCAAAAACATCAGCTCCATACAGAACATCTTCTCTGACTACGATACAACTATGCTAGAAATTATCAGTAAACAGATGACTAAAGCCACCCCATACATTTGCAAATGTTTAGAAAATACACCTTTCAACAACTTATGGATCAAAGAAATGAGTATAAATATTAGAAAACAATTAGAAGTAATCATTATGAAAACATTGTATGTTAAAATCTGAAATGTAGCTAAAGGTTACTTAGAAGGAATTTTATAGCCTATGCTTAGATTAGGAAAAAGTAAGCTGGGGATTAATGAGTTAAGAACCCATTTTAATCAACTGTAAGAAAAATTAGAAAAAGAATAAACCTATAGAAAGTATAAGTAAGAAGTAATATAGACAACAACAGAAAGTAGTGAAACAGAAAACAAAAATACTCTAAAGTGGGTGAACAAAGACAAACATTGATTTTGGGGGGAAAAATATCTAATAATATTTATTAAGAAAGAAATAGAGAAGATACAAGAAAGGTATGGAATGAGAAGATGGGCGTAACTATAGCTGCAGCAGAGATAAAAAGATAAAGAATACTATAGAAGTTATGCCAATGCGTTTTAAAATTTAGACAAAATATACAAATTCCGCCCCCCCCAAAAAAATTGCCAAAAGTGACTTGAGAAGAAATAACCTAAAGAGTCCTAAAACTGTGAGAGGCATTGAATTGGCAGGTCAACGTCTTCCTGCCTTTCCAAACAAAGCAACACCATAAAACCAGATGGCAGAATGGGTGCACCACCAAACTTCTAGTCATCAGATAACTTCAGTCCAACCCAACCTCTTTCCTAGAAGGAGGGAAACCCTCAGTGCATTGTCTGCCATCAGCAAGAGAGGAAAACTACAGACATCTCTCCATCATGGAATTCAGCATTTCTGTATAAGCTGTTGGAAAACCGAAATCTAGTCGTCTGTAAGACCAATCCTCATTCCAGGAATGCAAATATGGTTCACCTTAAAAAAAGTCTATTAAAATAATTCACCACATTAAGAGATTAAGGAGAAGCATGTGACATCTCAAAGCTGTGGATTCACATGCCTAAGGCAGTTTTTAAGGTTCCTTAACAAATCCAGAATCCGAACACTAAATCCTGTCATGTTCTTGAAACATTCAAGGTCTTAGGACAATGGGTTTCTTTCTTTTTTAAATTTTATTGAAGTATAGTTGATTTGCGATGTTGTGGACACTGGGTTTCTTAAAACATTTTGTCTCGTAACATTCTTTTAAGCAGTTGACCATATTTCATCCAATCTAAGATGCTATAGGTACACCATTCTCTTCTATATCGTGAAGGAAGAAAAAAGTGCTGGCAGTTATCATTGTAAGAAACCACTGATTGAGAGAAGCGCCCAATTTTAGAGATGTAAGTTGTTAAAATGCACATCTTAGAATGGATGAAATAGTGATGTGTTTGTTAAGAGTTTTAATAATCATATTCTTCCTCCTCACTTAGGGAAATAAAGATTTACGTGAAAAAAACAGTTCTCTAAATGTTGGGTCTACAGCTACCAAATGTCCAGATGTTTGGAAGCAATGAATATTTAGTGAAGAAGATACCAAACAGACACAGAATCAAGGTCTCAAACTTTAGGGAAATGGTCTGTTCCTTTTTGTGCAGAATTATACGCTGAAAAAAATTCACACATATGTAAAGTTATTTCTCAAGCTTCTCACTTTGAAGAAAACGAAGGCCTGCACACTTGACATCTTTGCTT